TATTGTTATTATTTCTAGGTCTGTTATTGTTTTGTTGCCAATTATTGTTGTTGTTTTGTCGATTATTTCTATTGTTTTAGTTGTTATTTTGATTATTTTGATGGTTATTATTATTATTAATAGATTGCTGAAATACATTTGTATTAATTAGCTTCAGTTGTTTAATTGTTTCAGTCAAAAACTCCTTGGTTTGGGCAGCTATTAAAGCTTTGATATCATTTTCAGTAGCAGGAATAGCATGATTAAAAAATGATGGTTGATATGATGCAGGTAGCAATGAATAAGCTGAGAGAGTATTGCCTTTAGAGTAAGCAACTTCAATAGCTTTAGCCTTTTCAACAGCTTCAAATAGATCATCTGGCATCGCAGACTCAACTGGAATATGGAATTCAAAATGTAAACCATCTATAAATTGTCTTCTTTTATCTTCATCAGGATAATTAGCATTTGGGTCTACTTTTTGCTATAGTTCTTCTAAAGCAGAGAAGTAAGACTCAACAGTTTCATCAGGTTTTTGTTTTCCATTTCTTAGAGTGTAAAACCATTGGGTAACTCGATGAGGACTTCTGAATTGTTTTTCGAACTGGTATTTGAATGAATGATTTATATTATATACAGTGGAATAATCTTTCCAGCTAGTAAAAACTGTTTTAAAATGATTGAACCAAGTAAGAGCTGTTCCTTTTAAATAATTAGCTACTATTCTTAGTTTTCTTTTATCATTCATATTATTTGCACTAGCTGCATTATTAAAGGCTTCAAACCAAGCAATAGGATCTTCTTCACCTCCTTTAAAGACAGGCAAATCTACAAGTTTTGCTTCTTTAGAGTTACCATTATTATTGAGTACTTGATCTAACCCAGTAATTAGTTGTTGTATTAATTCAGCTGAAGAGGGTTCTCCATTATTATCTGTTCGTTCAGGCTCTCTTTGTATTACTAATGGTGTGTTTCAAGCGTCTTGTTGTGAATTATCTTCATTTATGATTATATTTTCTATATGATTAATTATTTCTACTCTTTCACCATTTTGAGATCCATTACGTTGACCATTTCCTATTTGACTCATTATTGTAGATTCAGATTCAGATTCAGAACTATTATCGTTTTGACTATTTTCAGAATTAGTTTCAGAGACAAGAAAATCTTTCTTTAATTACCAATTATAATTTACTTCAGTAACTATTTAGTTGAACTCTTTGCTTGGAGTATTATTATAATATCGGATAGAGGTTATTAATAGTGTTCGAAAAAGTCAGCACAGGTCGGATTCGGATTTGTGCAGATCCAAACTGTCAGATTAGGTTTGGCCCCTGAAACGTCAGATTGGGCCTAGATTGAGCGGGATTGGGCTTAATTTTAGGTCATGTCTTTATATAATCACTCTACGTGATAAATTTGAATTTATCACGTGATAAATTCAAATGTATCACATCTTGTACCACAATATAAGTGATAAATTCGAATTTGGCATGTGATAAATTCGAATTTATCACTTATATTGTGACAAATATATGTGACAAACCGTCAGATTGGCACAGATTACTCTCAGATTCAATCTGAATTATGGATTCAGATCAGATTCGGATCAATTCCGAATTAATTAGGATTTTTAATCCATTTTCAAACACTAGTTATTAATTTTTCAAAATTTTCTGTTATTCGCTCTTTTTTAATTTTACTTATATGAGCTTAATTAAAATAATATAGTGTTCTGTTATTGTGAGCCGATGCGTTATAATGTTTTGAGAACTACGCCCAGAAGTGAAGAAATGATGGAGAAGTAATACTAGTTGAAATAGGATAACAAATTAAACAACTAAGATCAGGTTTAGAGTCTAATTTTCTTCTAATTAAGTATCTATTGGTTTGGTGGATGAATGTGTGATCGTGAATTTGCTTTTTATATGTTTCAATATTCATTCACACTTTGTTTAAAGCCAGACAGAAAAGCCTTTTTTTGTCGAAATTTGACTAGGTCATTTAATCCGTCTTTAGTTGAAGTTTGGTTATTTAATTCTTTCTCGTATAGTCTTAAATTATTTAGATCGTGCTTTGAATAGTAAGTATAAGAGAAAGGGTTTGGTTGAGATTGAGGTGGTAAGTTGTAGATAGTTTCTGTAGAATTGTCAGGATTTGGAAACTTCAGATAGTAAGTAGTAGAAGGAGCAGGTTCAGCAAAGTTAGATTCGATTTAATAATCCTTGTCCCAGAGTTGTTTTGGTTTAGGATTATATCTGTTAGCCCAATTAAAACCACAGTGCTTGGTATAAAGGTGTAGAATTTTTGTTTCTTCAGTAGTTAAAGCAGAACTAGTTTGTAATAATTGAATAATAGTTCTAACTTTGTTATAGATTTCCTCTGCTTTTTGGTCAGTTGGGTATGTGTTATTGCAATATTCGAATAAGAAATTAATTTCACAATACTTATAGGGAGCTTTAAGAAAATTTCTAAACATTAACTAAACTAAGGTAGAAGATAATAGAAAGAGTACTAAGACACTGTCAACCTAGTAAGGATTAACTTTTATGACAGATTTTTAAAAAAATTTTTAAATAAAATAGATAATAGGTATTTAACAGAACTTAATTCAATAGCCTCCTAGGCACTATAAGGTATAGCAATAAGCCAAAGATAGGATGACACTTATTGCCCTTTGTGTGCTGATCAGGTATAATTAAAATAATTTGGCCTATACTAGGATTATTACTTACTAAAACTTAGATGTATTCTAAAATACAAACAAAGAAAATAGCATTTAATAATCAGACCGTTATAAGCTATATATGGCCTTAAGTTTCAAACAATAATAATAATAATAATCAATAACCTAATAACAACACTGATGACCAAAGACAAAATTTCTTGAATTATTATGAAAATCATATCAATACTCAGAATAATAATGATAATAATTTTGCCAACCAAAGGATGAACTTTTTAAACTAGAAAAGACATCTCATGAGGGTGAGCATGTCGATAATTCAAAGCCCTCACTAATAAAACAATTACAAAATCTAGAAATAGAAATCATGAATTATTACAATAGTCTTACCAATGATAATGATAATATAAATAATGGAAACAATATAAATACTGGAACTAATAATCTCGACGAAGAAAATAATATCAA